AGTCACCACAGAGCTGGATGGCTGTTAGAGGTGAGAGGATGAAAACATTTGATGGCTTTTTTTTTTACTGAGGATGTTTATGAGAGATGATGTTTGTGATGTCTCACTATCTGCACATAAATAAAACCCATTCCATTTCAATTTTCCTTATTCCCAGTAACTTCATCCAGTGCTATCAGCTCTTCATTTCTTTTGCTGCTGACTGTTGAACCAGTTTTTGGAATCCTTCTCCTTATTCTCCCACTTATGTTGTGGCGCTACAGACGTTCCAAAGGTCAGATCACGTTCTATCAGATTGTTCATTTGAACAAATTTAATTTGCATGTTAACTTAACAGTTAACATGCAAATATCCAGAAAAAACAACCAAAGCAGCTACAGTAAAGCACAATATACTGTAGACAAATAAAATATGGAATCCAATTTAAATATACAGAAAAATATTTGACCTTCTGCTTGATATATTTTTGCTTTGAATAATTTTGCTTCATAAATGTATGGCTTCAATAGATATTAGAGTACCTTACAAATAGCATTTCTTTAAAATAGAACCAACAACAGCCACATTATCTCTAATGTTAAAAAGCTGGTGTTTTATGCTTTGTTGAATTAATCTATTTATACTGTAATATTTTCTTTACAGTAGACAATGTCCTTTATGCATCAGTCAAACCTTCTGGAGTCACTGGATCTGGTAAAGTACATCTATTCAAATCAGAAACAGTCTCAATAAATGTTTACAGAATAACTAATCTAATTTCTCTAAAATCAGGACTTAATTCTGCTGCAGAGGAACCCACAGAAATCACATACTCCATTATTCCATTAAAAAAAATGAGAAAAAAGAGTGAGTTCTAAACAAACATTTTACAACACAAAACAATAACTCATTGATTTCAGAGTTCATGTTTTTGTTTTTTGTTGATCATCTGATGAACTCAACAGACAGACCTCGTGAATCAGAGGATGGTGTTATTTACTCTGAGGTGAAACCAGGAGTTGCAGGTACAGTCAGCCTTTATAGTCTATCTATCTATCTATCTATCTATCAATCTATCAATCTATCTATCAATCTATCAATCTATCTATCTATCTAGTTTCTCTACACTTAAGTATTCTCTGTATAAAATTACAGTTTTTTTGACACATAACAGAAAAACAATAGAAAGTTGTATGTTTTTTAGAGGAGATAAAAAATATACATGGAGCAACAGGGATTTTTATAAAAATGTCCTCAATAATCATTTAAGAAAATTTAAACTTGCAGTAATCTTTCCTTTTGATAGTTTCTGTCGTGATGGGATTAGATGTGTAACCCATATGCAGAAACACACGGAGGTTAGCTGAACGTTCAAAAAGGTTTATTGACAAAAGGTGTAAATAAAATGTGAACAGGAACTTGGGTGGCCAGACTGGTCA